TAATATTGAAAAGCTGGATTTTAAAACATGGCCTGGCATGGCTTTGAGACATTCTATAATACCCATTGTAGAATTGGTCCAGGTAACTTAAGGCATAATGTCCAAGTGTGTGCAAGGTTCTAACTTGGAAAAAATTACCCTTTGTAGCAAACTGTGCTGCCAACTACAAGCCACAGAGGCTGAAGCAGGTCGTGCCTCAAATGGTCTCTATAGAACTTCACTGTTTGGGCTTTCAACCTCCGTTTCATTAATATCTCTTTGCACAGTGTATAAAAGTCAAATTTCCTGAGAATTGGAGCTCCTACTGATTTTGTGGGATTTCCTCTTGTTATTAGGCGTTGAAACCCGGCCAGGATCTTGATCCCCTGAGTTCCCAAGCATTGGTGTGGGGCAGGTTTGCTGCCCCTTAGAGCAGCTGCTCTGTCCGCTCCTGTGCGTGTCAGTAAAAGCGAGGCTGTGCTGTCATTTCGCATCCTCGAGTTACTAACGACATTCTTTGAAGAATCGTCAGTTTGTTTCTTCCATTTTTATTAATCTTCACATTGTGGTGAACCCTTACTTCCCTGCACTAACAACTTACTTACCTTTAAAATCAAAGAAAATAACTACTAGTAATACATAGCACAGAGCTTCTCCAATTGTCTGCAGTGGAAGACCAGATACTGTTTCCATCTGTTACAGATAGGTACTTTTTAAAAACAGAATAAAACTAGATTATTAGAAAAATTAAATGATGCTACAAAATAGAAGCCCCAAATTTTCATTAGGTTCAACAGACATAAAATTACTCTTCCAAATTGCTATACAAGTATCCAAATGCTTACTCCTATGTTCTCATGGGCCACCAAGGAATAGTCCATGGACCAGCACCAGCCCACAGAACAGGCTGGGGGATCCCTGGTGCAGGGGATGCCTTTTCATCTAACCACAGCCTTGGCCCCCTTCAGGGAGCGTCCCCACACAACCCAGACCAAATGAGTTTCTAAGACTTTGCCAAGAACTTTTTTGGGAAAAGAGTAATTATTACTAATGGGACTGTAGAAATTCATAGTATTCATATTTTAGGCAATAGACTATCGCATTGCTTTGTAACTTTCTTTCATCTGGCTACTATTAATGTAAACATCTTTTCACTCATTTGTTGACATTTTAATTTACACTTCTGTGTATTGTCTATTACATCTTTTCCCCATTTTCTCTTAAACTATCTTTGTCTTATAAGTTTTTAAGAGCTCTTTGCTTATTAGAAAATTAGTCTTCTGGCATCTACTCTTTAAATAGGCTTGCTAAATCTGTGTGTCTATTAACATTGTCTCTGGTATATTTTCCATATATAATTTCTTAATTTTTTTATATGGTCAAATATGGTTTTCTTCCATATCTTCTGATTTTCTAGTCCTCGGTATAAGGGTCTTCTTCTAGGTTATATATATATATATATATATATATATATATATATATATATATATATATA